TTATTATTAATTATAATTAATAATAATACCTGACAATAATATTTACAATTAATAACAAATGGAGAAGAAAAATTATTTTAATTAATTTTTTTCCTATTATAATTTTTATAAACTTTTATAATTAAAAAAATTTACTTTTAATTTAAGTAAACTCACTATTCGGATAAATTGAAAAATTAAAAAATTTATGTAAAATATTATTATTATTATTATATTATTAATTTTAGTGTAAAGTAAACAATAAATAATAGACTTCTCAATTGTGAAATCTTTGCAGGTCTCATTATAATGAGCTTATGTATTATTCAGTTTTCCCATGTGTTAAATAACAATGAAATGCTAATTAGCCAGCTTTATTTATATATATTTTAAATTAACATACAAAATGAAAAAGTTGAAAAATTATAATAGAAAAAACTAACACATGAAAAAGAGGTCTCTTATTTTATCATGAAAAAAAAAATCAAATAGTTGACATTTAGTAATGAAAATGGCATTGAAAATAATTTTTTTTTTTTTTAATATGTAAAGTTTGCATATAATTTCACTTCTCTTATCGTCTTTTAAATTATACAGCATTTGTTCAACTTTTTCTTCAACTTTTCAAGATATTTATACAGTTTGGCATTATTTATAATATTATAAACTTAAAAATTTAATTATAAAATGTAATAAAAAATAAAGTATTCAAATTAATTTTTTTTTGTGATTTATTACTGTTTTTTGGAAATTAATTTTTGAATAATAAATTCTTGATATTATTTCTTTTTTGAGAATAATTAATTTTTATAGTCAGCAAGTTGAATAAAAATTTATTTGATTTAAAAAAACAACGGTTTTTTGTTTACAATGAAATAAATAATTATTAAAAAAATTATTATTTGAATCAATTAAATTTTGTTTGTTTCAAATATATAATAAATTATTGGTTCGAATAAAATTTTATTTGATATGAAAATGATTTGTTTCAAATATATGTTTAAACGAAATAATTTATATTTGGATAATATAAATATTTAAGTTATCGATTATTTTAATCATTTTTTTTTACCAGTGTAACAAATTTATTTTGTTGAAAACATATTTTTTTCTCTATATTACGAAGGGCGTTCGTGTTTAGCAAATTCTGTATTTTTTGACCCACATCTTTCGAGATAATATTTTCAATGTATATATTATTTACGAAGGAAGTGTGGTCATTCATATTACTGATAGGAATTTCTATTTTTACAAAAGAATATAATTTTAGCTTTTTATTTATCTATTGTTTTCAATACTGTGAGAAAAATCATTTTTTTTATCTACTCTCAAGTAAATATTTTTCTTTTTCAAAAACTTTCAATTTTTTTTTTTTATTTTTATTTCTGAACGAATTGTAATATGTAAATATATCTTAAAGCGATAAAACTGCTACTCCGATACATTCATCAATTCACTTTTGCAAAGCTGTGAAATCGAAAGCTTAAAATAAAAATGAGGGTAACTGTATGTATTTATAGACGAAGATTATTTTTCGATATTTTTGAATTTTTATTCACTTTTTTTATTTCACTTTCTTTATGCTCACACAAACGTAAACTTATTTTATGCAAAACTAAAAAAAAAAAATTTAATTTTATTTAATTTTTTTTATATATTATAAAAATTAAATAAATAAATAAACTAAATAACACTAATGAATAAAAAAATTACAATTGTTATAAAAGAAAACATTCTTTGAAATGATATTTTAAACAGAAAACAAAAGATTTTACTGAATTATGAAAATTAGGAAATTTTTGTTTTCAAATGTTGGATAAAAAAATATTTTTGTAATGACCTCAACAATTATGAGTGAACATTTTTTTTTTCAATATTTAAACATGAATTTTTATTATGTCAATAGGAACAAAAATTGTTGTCATAACAAATATTTTCCCTTGAAATTATTAAAATTTGAAGAAGACTTTTTTTTTATCCACGAAATTGTAATCTGCCTCTTACGAAAATGAAAAACAATTTGATTCTGAATTCGCGAATTTTTTCTCAAATGGAGATAAATATTTTCTTTGAACAAATATAAAAATCCAATTTCTTTAGAAGGTTTTTTTTTATGTTATTTTCATGTTTAATATTTAACCTTGAATTTATTCATAAAATTGGATTCGTCTTCAGCTATTTTTAGTGAATCAAAATAGTCGTCAAAATTTACTTTCAATTTTTTTTTTAATTTTTACTTGTTGACTCGATAATTTTATTTTTTATAATAAAATAATAATTTATTTCAATTTTCAAAAAACAGAATTAAAATTTTTCACTTTTTTCCAGTGAAAAAAATATATTTTTGTCACAGAATTCTAAAAAATTACATTTTTAATTATTTCATTTGATTTACATAAAAATTTTATTTGATTTTAATAAAAATTTTATTTGAAACAAATAGTTATTTACTTCTAGGACAATTATTTTTTTTATCTAATTTAAATAAATTATATTTGTTGAAAAAAATATCTCAAGCAGAATATTTTTTTTTTTCATTTTTTCGAAACCTGGCACAAAACTTAATATACAAATTTTATTTAAAAAGAAAATAAACGAAAAAAGTGTCTTATCTTATTAGCATGTAAAAATGTAGAAAGTTTCTAATGAAATTTTACAATAACTCTCTTAAAAATTTGAAACAATTTCCGTTAACGTATATTTTGTTGGCACACGCGACGTTAATTCGTGATTTAACGCAGAGCTTATTATAAACTTTTTGAAGCACAGAAAAAAAATCCCTAATTTACAAGAAAGAGTTTCAATTTTTTTTTTAGAAGAAAAAAAAATTAAAGAGAAAAAGAGCTTCGTTTGCAGTATAATGTAGTTACCTTGAAACTATATTTGATCCTCAGCTCATCTCCAAAGCAAAAAAAAAAAAATTTTTAAATATATGTGAATCCACTGAATTTTAAATTATCCATTTTTAAAAAGTGACATTAACATTATTCCAATACACACACTAAATATTTTACTATAAAAATAATTATTGTTACTAATTTTTTTTTTTTGTTAGTAATATTTATTTTTGTTATAAAAACAAAACACGTGAATTTTCCTCGAAAGAACTTTGAATTTTTGTATCACTATATATATATATATACTTGTACAACGGTTCGCGGCATACTGTTACTGAACTGATAGGCAATGTACGATAGCATTTCATATAAGTAGGTCTGAAAACGTTAAGCGCATGCGTTTACACTCTCAATAGTTTTATTTTATTAGATATTATTTCCTTGAGAGAATTTTAAAGAAAATGAAAATTGGACTCCCTCCAAAAAAAAATTTGTTTCCTTTTCATTTTTATACTTTCTATACAATTTATGAATGAAAGATAAATAAATGTTTATTATTATATTGAAACATATTAATAAATTGTAGTAAATTTAAAAATTTTTACCCTAAACAATATTAAAGAAATAATAAATTTTTAAAAAAGTAACATCCCAAGTAAAATAGTCGGCAGAAAGATTGGTAATTCAAGAAAAATATAGAAATGTTTTGATTTTTTTCTATTTTTGAATATTAAAACACTAACCACCAGACAACATAAAGAAAAGTAATTTTTATCCACCATAATGGATCCACCATTTAAAATTTTTTAAAAATAACCTCAGATTCGTAATCAGTGCCCTCGAAAACCTCCGAGAAATAATCTTCAAGCAAATCCAAAAGATTTTGAAATTTTTAATCGCCATATTAGTTTCTCCATTTTGAATTTTGTTTATTTGATGCCAGATTCGTAATCAGGGACCTAGAAAATCCCCGAGAAACAATTATTAAGCAAATCCAAATGATTTTTAATTTTTTCGACCGCCATAATAGATCAGCCATTTTGAATTTTGAAAACCTGATGTCAGATTCGTAATCAGCGACACTGAAAACCTCATAGAAACAATTTTCCTGCAAATCCAAATGATTTTGAAATTTTTCGACCACCATATTGGATCAGCCATTTTGAATTTTGAAAAACTGATCTCAAATTCGTAATCAGCGACCCAGAAAACTTTACAGAAACAATTTTCATGTAAATTCAAACGATTTTTAATTTTTTCGACCGCCATATTGGATCAGCCATTTAGAATTTTGAAAAACTGATCTCAAATTCGTAATCAGCGACTCTGAAAACTTTATAGAAACAATTTTCATGCAAATCCAAACGATTTTGAAATTTTTAACCGCCATTTTAGTTCAGCCATTTTTAATTTTGTCAATTTGATGTCAAATTCGTAATCAGCGACCCTGAAAACTTCATAGAAAAAATTTTCATGTAAATCCAAACGAATTTGAAATTTTTAACCGCCATATTGGATCAGCCATTTTGAATTTTGAAAAACTGATCTCAAATTCGTAATCAGCGACCCAGAAAACTTTACAGAAACAATTTTCATGTAAATTCAAACGATTTTTAATTTTTTCGACCGCCATATTGGATCAGCCAGTTTAAATTTTGTTTATTTAATGTCAGAATCTTTATCAACCATCCTCAAAACTCCTAAAAAATAATTTTCGAGTAAGTCCAAACAATTATTAAATTTTTGCGACCGCCATATGGAATCTGCCATGTTGAATTTTGAAAAACTGATCTCAGATTCACAATCTTCGACCCTGAGATCTATAAGGACTTCAGTTTTCATTTCGTAAATGTTTGGTTTCTAATGCGTATGTAAGGGTTCTGCAATTTTATCACTAATCGTAAGTTTTTATTTTTGATTCTACATATATATTGAATCTACTTTTTTTAGGTAGTTGATATTTTTACAGAAAAAAATTAAAGAGTGAAAGAGAGGAATTTTTTGATATTTAAAGTTACTGACTATAAAATGATCTCCTGATCAAAATCGGAGTTGCTATAAAATATCTCACCTACAAAGTTTACTGCTAAAAGATAATCTTCGAGATAACACTCCAGTATGATTAAATTCCATTTAAAAAGAAATTTTTAACTCTACAATCCACCAGAAAACAAATTCACTCACCTCCAAACGTTCAGTTGCCTTGATCAGCCTATCATAATCCACAGATCCTTGAACAGTCAGCAACTCCATCATATAATCAGCCTCCTGAACAGATTGTTGAACCATTTCAAGTTGTCTTTCAAATCGTCTCCACAAACCAAGTCTATTTTTCAGTAAAGCAAAAATTCTTGCACAACGTGATTCAAGTTCAGTGTGATCATCCTGAATATTAGAGATATCCCTCTCGACACCAACTGGCGATACAGAAACTCTCATTCCCATTGGCAATGTGTGTAGCACTTGACGCAAAGCCATTATATTTTGCCAGAGCATTGACAATTCTTCAGAAACTAATTGACATCTATCAACAGCACCGGCAACAATATCACTACCCTGTTTTTCACAACTTTCACATTGATCCAAAATTAAACTCTCTTTCTGATGTGCTCTTCGAACTCGTGTCAATCCACGTTCCAAAGCCTGAAGACGTTCACGAAGAAGTTGAGCAGCATCCAATTCTTCACTTATCAGAGCCTCTATTCTTCTCGCTGTTGACAATAGTATTCCCACTCGTTCACTTTCTGCTGCTGGTAAAAGTCCCAATCTTCCTAATTCCTCCTGCAATCAAAAAAATTCCAAATTAATATAACTTGGTGTATTTTAATTAAACTGCCATAAGGAATTATTAAAAAGAAATTAAAATCTTTTATAGCTGAAGGAAGTCTCACCTGAATAACACAAACGCGATCAAATAGTACAGACAATCTTTCAACATAGAGTTCCAATTCCTCTTCAGTCTTTAAAACTCCATGAAAACCTTCAATTGTCATTCTCAATTCATGTAATTCTCTCTCGAGAAGATTTAATTTCTCATTAACCGAAACCTCTTCCGATGATATATTTTTCCTCACTGCTGATTCTATCTCAACAATTCTGTTTGTCACTTGATTCCATCTTTCTTGAAGTTGTCCACGAAATTGTCTTTGCAACATCTCATCAGATAGAGGAATAATTCTCAAAGATTGCTCAAAACAATTATCAGCCTCCTTTCGCATATTATTATGAACCTCGTACTGAGCCTTCAGCTCCTAAAATTAAAAAAAAGCATTAAAAGAATTTTCACGAATTCTACTTTAAATAATTCTTTCTTAGAAGATGTAAATAAATCTTCCCGGAAAGTATTATTTGCATTTTTTTTATCTCCATTGGCATAAGGCCAAAAATAATTCTCCGAAACAAATATTTATTTTTAGCATCAAGAAAGAATTCAATACCCAGAATTGACGCATATTGCCACCGGAAGGATCGTGAATAGTGGCAAGTCCTCTTTCAGCAATCGACATCCAATGCTCTAAACGATCAAGTAATAATTCCTGAGTACTCCAACTTTCCTTGAAAGCCAATAAACGTCTTAATGAAGACTCAACATTCTCTTGGAGTTTAATAATCACATCTAAAGCCTCAGTGTATCGATCATCTGGATCCTCAACGTTTATCATTTCTTGAAGATTTTGCGATATCTTTAGAAGCTGAAGTAGACGCGCATGATGTGTTCCAACATCTGATGATAGAGACTAAAAATTTCAAAACATGTAGTCTCCGTTAAACAAAAAAAAAGGTTTTCAGAAATATTTCTAAAGGACCTTACCTGATAAAGCGAAATGTATTGATCATAATCAGAAGATGTGACTGTTTGCAAATCAGGCACTCTCTGATGAGCAACTTGCATCCAACCTCGCTCTTCTTTCATTCCTTGTTCAAGTACAATCCATCTAGAAGCTGCTAGAGACATTTGTTGACCCTTAAAACCCGCTTGATCCAATAGTGAAGTTGCTCGACCATGTAACTCTTCATGAAGACCCGAATATTTTGCCCTTGTTTCAGAATCCAAATTACCTTCCAAAGACTCTAAAATAGCTCGACAATGATTTAAATTAACGAAAAATTTTCTATGCTTCTGCATTTCTTCCTGAAGATGTTCAACGCTGATAACAGAAATTGGACTATCAACAAGTTCCTCAGCAATTTCGGTAATTTGTGCAAATTCCTGAAGTGTTTGTTCATATTCTTCAGCCAATGCTTCCAATTGCAAGAGACGTTCTCTTTCTACATTAATATTATGTTCTATAGTCGCTGTTGTCTCATGAGTTATATAAATATCTTCTGGAATTGTCTTTCCTGGATAGTCTTTTAGTAATCCTCGAGCTGTTATAAGAAGTTTTGATGCCTCCCACATGTGTGATTGATTTGTTGTTTCCAGTTTGTCCAATTCTTGTAGCTTCCATTTTGTCGAGGCATCACTGTCAATAATGTTGTCTAATTGTTTTTGTTGTTCTTCGACGAGTCTGGAAATTAACAAAAGTGATTTTACAAGTCAACATAAGGTTTTTAATATAAGGTATAATGCTTATTGTAGTTTCATCAACAGATGTGAGATAAAAAATTATTATTCCTCGAAAAGTTTACTTTTGTAGCCAAAACTTGGTGAAAATTTCGGTCTGATTTCCGATTAATTACAGAAAGATTAACCAGTTTCGTACAACTTGTACGAAAACAATTCGAAAATGATCCGAATTAATGAGGAATCAGTCTGGATGAATAGATAAATCGGAGATCAGTCTGAAATAGTTCAAAATTGACATGCAATAAATCCGCAATTAGACCACAACAATTTGATTTTAGTTAGATCAGAAAACAATCCAAAATGAGCCCAGAATTAATTCAGAATTTGTATGTAAATTATCCGCAAACAATATGCAACTATCTGAATTAGGTATCGTCAAAAAACTAAATTCGAGTTTTAGTCGGATGTTTCAGTTTCGCGAACTTCTCGCTAAGGTGCATCATAGTGGATCGTGTCAGTTTACCACGATGAAGCATATGTATTCAAGAAATTAAATGCTAAGGCCTGGTCAGGAGGATACCACATGTAGCGCTAGAGAAGGGATAGGACTAATTACATTAGAAATAATATGGGTAAGAAGAAGTAGTATTAAATTTGATAGTGAGGTGAAAGGTCGACCAGAGGAGCTCCTGAAGTGAAGTGGAAGGAAGAAGTCCAAGAGAGGACTAAGGTTCGCACCAGTGTCGACAATTTAAGTACAATTCATTTTTAATAAATTTTAAATAATACGGTACATGATCTGTGTATTTAAAGTGAAGGCAATCGCTGCCTTATTGTGATAAGGCATTGTGGGTCTTATTGATGGCGATAGGATTACTCCTGGTATTGTCATAAATAAAATAATTTGTATTTAAATAATATTAAGTTTCAACTTGTTATGTATGTAGTCTACATATGTTTATAAAAGTAAAGAAACCTAAAAGTATTCAGGACATTAATCATGTTTTGCATTTAATTAATAATTTAAAGTTTAATTTATTCTTTCTTCATCAATTAATTTTAATTTCATATGAAATTAAATTTTAGTGTCGGTTTTCTATTATTCGGAATTAGTCCGGTTAAGTCCAAAATTAGTATTATTTATATCACTAGTTAATCCAGTCTAATTCGAAATTAATTACTGCTACAAAAGCAAACTTTAAAACGCATACGGATATTTTTCTTTCATTTTGTTGGATTGTGGTATTTGTATTTGATGAAAAATGTTCGCAAAAGAGTAAATTTGTCCCGTTTATTATTAAATAAATAAATCTCAAATCATAATTCAATTATTGAAACTCACCTGTAAATGTTATTAACGCTGTTTAAAAATTGATCCCACCTTGATAGTTCTTCAGTCATAAAAATTTCACCATCATTTGTAATTTCTTCAATAGCTTTCACCTGATTTTCCAAAGCATTAACACATTCTTGAATTCTCTCTCGATCCTCGTCTGGATAATTTTGTTCAACATTTTTCCATATTTTATCAAGTTCCTTGATGCTATTGTCAGCGTGACTAACTTCATCTTTTAGTTGAAGATAATTTCGTTCGTCTCCATGTACTGGTCCATTTGGACATTCTCGTTTTAGAAAAACTCTATATTCTATTGTTTCCAACCATGTTGATATGGTCTCAACAATTGTAATTAAATTTTGTTCTGCCACATCGGCATCATGAACTTCAGTGGCAATCTTTAGATGACCCAATTTTTCCATTATATTGGCAGATCGTTGTTCGGGTGCCATCTCAATTGGAATTTGATTCAGCATTGCGATATGTAGACAATTGGATAAATAAGAAGTTTGCTTGGGACTTGGAGAACTCTTGATGCGTTTAGACATCATTTTTGATGCTTGTGTTCTTAAAACAATTGGATTTAACAATTTTTGGTGGATTGGTTTCTTCATCTCAGACAGTGTTTTTTTGACTGGTTCGATTTTATTTTCATCTAAAATTGATTCTGTTGGCGAAAGTTGTTCTTCACTTGTGTCCATTGGTTCAGCGACTATGTCAATGGAAATTTCTCTATGAACACCAAACATCTGTTCACGTTCTTCTGAAGATCTATTGGATCCTTTGGTGACGTCAGAGTATGAAAGTTTGACAATCTCTTGCTTTGGCGATGTTGATATCTCACCAAAATCTGGACCAGTTCTTTTAATTTCAACTGTTTTATTTCTTTTTTGCTTTTTTCGTTTCTTTACTATCTTGTCAGTTTCACTTTCCAATAGGGAGGAATCTTCATCGTCTTTACTGTCATGACGTCTAGATTTGCTGACGTTTACAGAAAGCTCTGGTGAATGTTTCTCGGACATTTTCAGAGTTGCTTGAAGTTGAATCTCAAAGGAATTGTCAGTTGACTCGGTTTCTGACATGGATGTAGATCTTCCAGTGGCTATTGATCTAAATTTATCCTCAGCGTCTTGAAGAGATTCATCCGTTTTTTGAGGTAAGGATGGACTTGATGCAACTCCTCCAATTAATGAAGGAGAAACTTCTTCGATTTCAATGTTTGTTTCTGTATCCTTGTCATCATCTTTTTCTGGTGTTTTATCGGGAGATTCTACAATAGGTTGCAAATCATCATTTGCTTCTTCTTCAATTTCTTCGGGTAATAAGGTTATGTCAATTGATTCAATTACTGTTTGCTGATGAACTGATGTTGATGGTCTAACTTCATCGGTAGTTTGAACACCACCTTCGACTGTGGGAATTAATTCTTCAGGTTTTGTTTGAATGAAAGTTGATGAAGTCTCTTTCTCAGGTTCTGGACTAGTTTGTGTTTCTTCTTGATTCATTGATATATCATCGGATTTTTTATACAAAGTCTCTTCTAATTCTGGACTAGTTTGTGAAACCACGTCTACTTCTTCTTTGGGAATTGTTTGAATTTCAGTTTCTTGAACGTCGACAACTCGAGGACTATCTTTTGGTGTTGTTTGAGTTTCGGAAGTTATAACAAGAACCTCATTAGTCTGGGTGTCGAAATCTTTTAGTTGCTTAATTTCCGGGGAAGGTGGTTTGCTAGTCTGTATGTCAATTTCCGTAGTTGGTGTAATTTCCGGAGTTTGGGTTTGCATTGCCGTTTCTTGCGTCGGAGGTTTTTCTGGAACTGGTTCTGGGGATGTTTGCTGCTCTACGTTTACGTCGGCTTTGGTCAAAGTTTGAATTTCCATTTCTGTTGTTGTTTTTGGAGAAGTTTGTATTTCCGTTGAGTCTACATCGACTTCAATTGTTTGGACATCAATTTCCTCTACTTGAATTGGTGATTGTGGTTCATTAACTGGAGTTGTTTGAACAACACTATCTTCAGTTTGAATCCCTTCTGGTGAGATTGTTTGCATTGAGGTAGTCTCCACTTGGGTTAATTTGGTCGGTGAGGTTTGTATGGCAATTTCCTGATCGAGTGGCGGTGATGTTTGCATTTCCGAATGAATTTCATCAATTTTCACAGTTTGAATTTCATGTTCATGGGTTTGTGGAGTTTCTTCAAGTGATGTTTGCATTGAAATATTGATATTTTCAGCTGCGTCTGATTCAGTTGGTCGGAATTGATCATCAGTTTCGGTAACAACATCGTCACTACTTTTCATTGGTATGTCTTCTTTCTTTCTTTTTCGTTTTCTTGATTTTTTATGTAGCTTGCCACTTTCTCCCTGTACGGGTACAATCTCATCGGTAAAATCAGCATCATCTGTTGTACTCTTTGGAAATTCGGTGACATCTTCCTCACGTGGTACTTTTACTTTTTGTTTCTTTTTCTTTTTTCTTTTTCTCTTTACTGCATCGTCGTCAATATCAGAAGCAATTGGAATTTCATCAACAGTTGTCCTGTCATCTGGCTCATAGCCAATATCCCTTTCAAAGGTTTCCTCTTGCAATGAGGCTGATTCAGATGTTTCGGTAATTTCTGCAACGTCCGGTTGTGGTGGATCAGTTTCGCGTATTGATGAATCCGAAACGGGAATATTGATGTCAACTGATTCGGCAATGGTTGTTGTTACACTTGTCGATTCTTCTCCGCTGTTCTTTGTTGAAATTTCGTCTTTAGGTGTTTTCTTACCTTCGCTAATACTGGTTGCTTTATCGGTCATGGAAAATTTAGGTGTTTTTGGTTTCCTTGATTCGACTTCGGTTTCAATTTCACTTGCAAGGAATGCAGTGGTTTGGACTATTTTATCATTACTGATTTTAACTTTTTCAGAGTCGATTGGTAATTCGATATCAACTGCTTCTTTAACTATCTGATAGCTTGAATCTTCGGGTTTTTCCACTCTAGTCTTTACTGATACAGACGGACCTTCATCGTCTTTTTGAACCGAGAGATCAATTTCGACTTTTTGGATTGATGTGTACTCGGGTTTTAGAGCAATCTCTTGATGATCTGCATCTTGTTTTTTCTTTGGCGTTGATGATAGGGTAAAAGATTCCGTGTATTTCATTCTGTCCCGTTGAGAATCATCTAATTCCTCTTTAGGTGTTTCTTCTAGTTGATTGTCTGATTTCACAGTTCCTGTCGTATGTTTTTCAGATTGTTTAGATTTTTCCAATTTTGGTTGTTCTAAGTCGTGAGTTAAAATCTCAGGATCTTTGGACTGCTGCTCTTTCGATTTTTCCAAATCCGGTTGAGAATCTCTTGATTCTCGTTTTGGTTCATCATCTTCTGATTTGTCATCAAGTTCTGATGATCGAGACTCTTGAGACTCTAAACTATCTGATTCTATGATTGATTGTTTTTCTAATGGAATGACAGTGGCTTTGTGATGATCATCAGAGTCTACTGTGCTATCGTCAATGTGCTCTTCTAACTCTACTGTGCCTGATTCTAAATCAATACTGTGTATCTCTGTTTCGACAGGTGCAACATCAGACTTACAACTCGTTCCAGGTGGAGGATCCACCACTGACTCCACGATAGGTTCGACCTTTTTCTTTATTTTGCTTTCTAATTCTTCTGTTGCGCTTAATTTCTTGGACGATTCAGATTTCGATTCTTGGGAAGACAATTTTGTGGGTTTAGAAGATTTCTTCTTTTTCGACTTCTTTTCTTTTTTTTCGACACCTTCGGATGTTGTTTCTTTAGCCTCGGTAGCAAAGAATGGTGGACTTTCAGATTCGGAAGTTCCTTTTGGAGTTTCAGTTTTAATTTTAGCAATTTCTGAAGTAGAGGCTTCTTCTTCCTTTGCTGGGAATGACTGCTTTCTTGATTCTTTTTCGGGAACATTTTCATCGACTTTAACGTCACTGCTGCGGTGATCTTCACTCTTGACAACATTAATGCTAATGTGTGGTATATCCTGTTCGTCGATTTGTACCTCTTCAGGTTCCTCGATCACCTCTTCGGTGACAGTTTCTTTGCCATCGATTATCGTCACTTTTCTGATGATTCTGCGGGTTTTGCGTATGACTCGTCTGGTGACTTGTTGAACAACAGCGTGAACAGTGGAAGTTTTGGTTTGGTAATCAATATTCTCATCAAGAGCCTCTTTTAGAGCTAGAGGTTGCTCGATATCTTGAATATTACCCTGAACAATGCTGTGCGTCATTTGGGGAACACTTTCGTATTCTTCAATGTTGACTTCCGTTCCTGGAGCACCGGTGGTGACTCTACCACCGAAACTTTGTTTAGTTGACATCTCTATGGTTCCATCGGGTTTTGTTGTTGAAACAGTGACTTGTTGACCTCTCATGGTTGCTTCGGAGAAGGCTTGTAGTACTGGTGGATTATCACCAATGGCTGCTGTCAATGATGAAACATGTTGCTGTGTGGTATGTCTACTTGTGACAAGTGTTCGTCTCAATTTTCTAACAATGATTCTCTTGGTTCCATCACTGTCAACAACAACTTCAGTGGTGACATCGTCAGGTTCAACAAGAACTGTTTCAAAAGATTGAGGAGCAGCATGCTGAATATTCAATTCCGATGTGACGCTATCTGGTTGTTGAGCATCTTGATATTTCATGTCAACCACTATATCATCAGGATTGATTCCCTGTTCACGTCTGATGAATTCTTGACTTGGAACATTTTTCGTGGCTATTTCGATAACATCATGATTACCGTCGGTGGTTTTTAGAACTTTTATTGACTCCTGAGTTTGGGCACTTTCAGTTGATGCTGCGGTGGTGACTGGTTCTGTCATTTGAGTTGTTGATGTTTGTTTAGAGAGCTGAATGGGTTTCTCTTGAATTGGTTGATCTTCGTATAAACTTTGACCCGTTTGGAGAGAGACATCTGCCAATGATGGTGAACTGGATCGTAATGATGGTGCTTGATCAAGTGTTGCGTCTTGATCTTCATCTTTAAGGGAATATGCGTCAGAATTTTCCTGTAAAATTAAAATGATGATTTTTTTTTAGGAAAGATAAAAATTTTTGTGATTCAAGCATTTGAAAGAAAAAAATTATTTGTTTCAAATAATTTATTACTTGAAAATTATCAAAATTAATATTTATTTGTATCGAATAATTATTATTTGAATCAATTATAAAAAAAAAAAAATGATGAAAAAATTTATTTTAAATACAGAAATTATTGATTCGAATAATTTGATTCAAGTAACAATTATTTGGTTCAAAAAAATATTTATTTGATAATAGATAAGTAAGGAATTATTTGAATCAAATACATTTTTTTCAGTGTGGATGTTGATGATATGTATGATGTGAAGGAATACGCTTAAAAAAAATCTTCGTACCAAATTTTTAGTTAACGAAAATTTAAAAAAAAATGCTTTATTTATAAATATTTTTTATTTTTAAAAATAGTTGTTAAATAGTTAATTTTTTAAATATACATAATTTAGTTAATTTTAGTTTTGTTTTACAAAAAAAAGCATGTTTTATCTTAACAGTAGATTATTTTGTCTCGTATATTTTAATTCTATCGTTAAAAAATAGTTTGCAAAAAAATAATAGTTTTTTAGTACACTGAAAAAAATTTTATTTGATTCAAAATAATCGGTTACTTAACTATTATCAAATAAATATTTACTTGAATTAAATAATTTTTATTTGAATTAATAATTTCTGTATTTAAAACAAATAACATTTAATTGACTCAAATAAAAATTATTTGGTTCAAGTAAATATTTATTTGAATCAAATAAATTTTTTTTCAATGTAGAATAATTATAGAAGAATGACAAAAAATTTCTTATTTAAATGGAAAAAATTTTTTTAATTAGTTTTTAAAATTAAAAATTATTTATTGAATTAATAGAAAAATTTTCTTGAAAACTTTGTTTCTACTTTCTATGAATATATTTTTTATTATTCTATTTTATTCTTAATTTTTTGGGAGTAAATTTTTATTTGATAATTATTATTTTTAAATTATACACTGAAAAAATTTATTTGTTTTAAATACAGAAATTATTGGTTCAAATACAGTTTATTAAATTCAAATAAAAATTATTTGGTTCATGTAAATATTTATTTCATAATAGTCAAGTAAACGATTATTCAAATAAAATAAATTTTTTTCAGTGTAACAGTATTTAAAAAGACAATAATTATTATAATTTATAATAACTAATTTTTTGAAATTAAAAAAAAAACAATAATTATGTAAATTTGTAATAAACAAAATTTTTTTTTAAATTAAAAACGACTATAATTATTTAAATTTGTAATAAAAAATTTTTGTTAAACTAAAAAAAATATAATTTCTATCATTTTTTCATTAAATATTCATATATTCGCAGACAGAAATTTGTTTTACTAATTAACACTTAATAATTAATTTTTAATAATTAATTAGTATATTACAAATTATAATCAATTTACTAAAAATACCTTAATATGAAGTTATTTTCTTTTAAAATATAATATTATTATATTAATCGAATTAAAAATGGTATAATTAAACAAAAATTGAATAAAACTACTTGCTAAATAAATAATAATTAATTACATGGTTAATTGTTTATTTATTAAACATAAATTAATGACTACTTTCTAAATTAATGAATTTTGGAAGATTATTATGATAAAATTATATACACAAATTAACAATAATTAAAAAAAATTACAAATAATTTAAAAAAATAAAAATTAGAAATTTTAAAGTAATGTAAAAAATAATATTAAAAATAATATTTAATTAAAAAGTGCTAAAAGTGTAAACCTTAAATTCTAATGTGGTGCGTGAAATAATGAACGAGAGAAAATAAAAGAATAGAATGTAAACTGATAATAATATTTTAATGATGCCAAAAATACAATAATAATAATAATAATAATAATTTAATAAACAATCCTTAAGTACATGCAAAAATTTTTTTTTACAACCGTCACCTTAATACAAAAGCACAACGATTAAAAGAAGTAACAAATAATGACGATGATGGGAGCAATGAAATAATACACAATGACATATGGAGTTAGAAAAAATGGTAAAAAGATGAGTGTGAACTAAAAAATAATAACAACGATGTTTACAAAAAAAAAAAGAAAAAAAAGATATGTATTATTAAAAATTGGTCGCTTTTTTCAAACAGAAACATCAAATATATTACATCAAAAATATTAAAAAAAAAAAAAAAAATTAATAATTCTGTAGATTAGTTTATTATTATATAATAATAATAATTAGTTACTAAAACAGTGATACAAATTATAAACATATATATAAACTTTTTAAATCCAATTTTATACAATTGTTTTCTTTTTTGTTTATTATAAAAATATTTTTTTATGACGTAGAATTCTGACTAGAAAAATTATTTCTTCGTTATAAATAAATATATATATATATATATATATACTATATATATATAATATAGTTTAAGTGGGATCACAATTTTCGTTTTTTTTTTTAAATTAATAAAAGCATACAATTCATGGTAAATATTTAGAATATTAAAAAAAAAATTAAAAAATAATACAAGAAAGAACAAAATAAGAATAAAAAATTATTAAAAATTTTGTTTAAATAAAATTTTTTCCTATAATTTGGTTTTTGAATAGCAGAGAAAAATAAATAAAATATGTTTCTAATGTCATGAATTGTTTTTTTTTTTTTTTTTTTGTTTAAAGAAAAAAAAAGAGTAATGTCAAATGAAATGATGGAACGTGAGATACAAGATTTTTTTTTAAGCACCCTTCACCGAAGCATAACGAGAATGAGATAAAATTAATCCTGAGTTCTGGTAAGAGGTGAGTACCTGCTGCTTTTGTTGAAGACGATTTGCAAGATCTTGTAAAGCTTCTTTTAATTCTCTCGCTAAATTATTTACTTCCGGAAGTTCTTCCAATTCAGAAACACGTTGTGTTCGATTCAATAATTCCGTCTGCAATTCCTGTGTGAATTTTTCAAAAAAAAAAAAAAAATTGTCAGTATATATTTTTAATTTTTTCTTCAAATTAAAAAAAAAATTTTTTTGAATAAAATTTTTTTTAATAAATACAATTTTTTATTTGGATTATTTTTATTTAAGTAAAAAACCCAATTTTTCTAAATTGAAACAAAATTGAAAAATGAAATTTGTAAAATTTTTCTAATAATTTTTGAAAAATATAGGAAATGGTTTTTTTTTGCACAAACCTCACAGTCTGAAGCTGAAAAATTGTTAATTGTTAAGACAGTGGTTTCCAGCCAATTGCTTGTTTCATCCAAAAATTCTTTATAGGCTTTTATTTCATTGTCCCTTTTTTCTTGAATTGTGCAAGCTTCCGCTAGAGCTGCGTGACTCTGTTCCGTTTGCGTAAGAAGAGTCACGATTTTTGTACGAATTCCAGCCAAAGAAGCGAGCAGTCTTTTAATTTCAAGATCCCCTGGAATTTCGCTAACGTCTCGATTCAATTTTTCTGCTTTTTCATTGTAAGACCGTAATTCCGTCAATATTGCCTGAGAAATTTCATAAAAAGTGTAAATAATATAAAAAATATCTCGAATATATTTTCGAAAAATAGAAAATTCATTTTGAACAATCGAAAAAATTTTTTTACATATTTTTAATGGGTAATAGATAATAATTAAAGTTAATAATAATTATTAATTTAATTATAAAATAAAATAATTTAATTTTTAAAAATAATAATTTTTTTATACTTATAAATTTAATTATAATGTAAAAAAAAATTTGCAAACAAATATTTTTAGTGGAAAATAATATTATAATTATTTTGTAATTATTAAATAAATAATTATAATTTTATTTTCCACTAAAAAAAATTTGCTATCAATTTTATTTTTCATTAATATTTCATTTATGAAAAATTGAATGATAAAGAATTATCTTACCGACAATGCGGTAAACATGGATTGTAAACTGTCTTTTGGTAGATTTCTTAAAGAATCACTTAGACCAGCAACAGCTTTTCGTAATTCGTCAACGCGCGATTCCATTGTTTCCTAAAACATTTTTTTTCATATTTTTTAAATTTATCATACATTTTTTTTATTAATCAGCATAATTTTTTTTTATCATGCTGAAAATTTGAAGAAACTGCAACAAATTTTTGTAATTGTTATTAATTTTTTTTTTTTTTGTTAGCTCCAAAAGAAAAAAATTCGCCAAAAATCTGTGTCAAAAACTGCAGGATACAAATTTTTATTAACAACCTTAAAAGAAATCCAATTTTCTTATTATAAATAACTTTTTATTTTGTTTATTTATTTTTTTATTTTATTTAATAATTTTATTTAGATTAAATAAATAAATAAAAAAAAAAATATAAAAAAAATTTTCCATATAGATTGAAAAATAATAATTTTTTTAATAATTTTGTCTATATAAATTGCATTTCTTAAATTGTTTATTTATTAGGTAATATTTATTAATTATTTATTTATTATTTATACTGTTGTTAAAAATAATTTATCAAAAAAAATTTCTCAAATTTTGTGCACAGAATAAACATTTTTCGTTGAAATTAATTTATTTTGAAATATGAAATAAAAAATAATTTCTTGTATAAATTTGATTTTTATTTAAGGTTATTAATTATTATTAATCTGCAATAAAAAACGTAATGGTAAATTTATAAAATTAGTTTTGCTTAAAATACATATAATGGACAGAGGCTGCAAGTAAAATCACAAAAAAATGGACGGACAACATTTTTATACAATCATACAAAGATCAATTTTTTTTTAATGGAAAAATTTCTACGATTATTATTTTTCAGTAACTTGCATTAAAATAGTTTAATTTCATTAAAAAAAAAAGTTTGTGGAATTTTTTTAGAATTTAAAAAGTAAGAGAAAAAATTTAAATAGAATTTTATTGAATTTAAATCAATATTAAAAATAATAATAAAATAATTTTCAAAAATAATAATAATATAAATTTAAATAATAATAATATATAATTTATTTGTTCTATGACTTATTAGTCAAAAAAAATATTATAAATATATAATAGAAAAAAAATGGTTTATCTTTTCCGCGGCGAGAATCGAACCCAGCTTATTTTTATCACAGGTAGAGCGCTCGCACCACTGAGCTACCACAAAGATTTGTGAACATAACACTTTTTTCAAAAATTCAAAACGATAAAAGAAAATTTTATAAAGCTTTCAGTGTAAAATTTACTATTAAACAATTTTCTTCATTATTCAACAAAAAATTACTCAAAAATAAAAAAAAAGAAAAATAATTAGTAATTATAATAATAATAATAATAATAATAATAATAATAATAATAATAATAATAATAAAAAGAAAAAAATCAATAACTGAAAATAAATTGAAACAAAAAATCAAAATTAAAAATTCTACAATTTTTTTCCACAAAGAGAAAAGCATTTGTTTTTAAAAAAAGGCGAGATAAAAATCCAAGCAATTTATTTTTTTTAGGAGCATCCCCTAAAATGTAACATGCAGGTGTCGTGAGACCCAAATAAAAAATCGAAGCGAAAACTCTTAGCGCTAGCAATAATATCAGGAAATAGGAAGAAAAATGAGAAGATATATTTATATAATGAGTAATAACAGAGCCAGAGACAAAGAACGAGATAAAAACTCAACCAACCAATAGAACAACATGGCCATATTATGGTAAACTGTTAAGAAAATATTGCATCTGTATATATATATAATAAATATATAAACAAGATCGAGCACTTTTTTTTGGCGAAAAAAGTCGCACCTTAATCCATTGGATGTTAATAACTTCAGTCTTCATTGTCACATCTCTCTCTCCCTCCAGTAAATTTGGCTGCTGCTTCCATCCGCTTTTCTCTTTACCTAAATTGAGCTGGTATTCAGGATTGGATTTAGGATTAATTTGTAATTTAGGATTAGGATTGGAAATGTCTTCTGCTGAGATTATTCCTTTGGATGATTCTAATATCAAAGTATCGACCATGGAAGATTCCAAACTGGAGGCATCACTTTTGGATGTTTCCAAACACGTGGCTTCTGCTTTGGAAATTTCCAAATTGGTGGATTCTTTATTAAAAGATTTCAACTTTGATGAGTTTACTTTGGATGAATCCAAATTGTCGAACTCAAAATTATTGGAAGATTGGGAATATGATTTTAAATTTGTCACATCATGATCCTCGGTCATCCTATCAACGATTGGATTCACATTTTGGTCCTGTTGATCGTTGATGATCTCATGGGATAAATAGGTACTATAATCGCTCCAGCTACAAATGCCACCCGGCAAATCCGCGACCAATCGTTCAGTATGGGGAACGTCACCGTGGGAATTTGTTTTACCACTAGAATTACGACCCCGACCACCAGAGGAGCCATCATTGGAATCATCATCATTGGGGGGATTTTGATTAAATTGTTTGTTTGAAGTTTGTTTTTTTGTTCTGGCCGCTAGTGTTTCGAATAATAATTTTTCAGCTTCATGATAGGGTCTTTTGTCAATCCAAAAACCTCCATCGAGAGATGCAAATTTAGGCCAAATACTTCCTGGTATGTAGGATTCTTGAACAAGTTTTACAAAATTCGCCTCCTTTTCCAAGTCTTTTTCCTTATGCTGAGGAATTACGAGGATTTCGTCGGCTATGTAAAATTTAACTCTCGACTTGGATTGTCCTTCGGAAATTGGTGACTCGATTGAATCTGATCGCATCGTTGGTAGGGATGCGGTTTTAGAGGGTGCTTCTATTGTTTCGGTGTAGAGAATTTTTTTAGGATCGGGAACTTTAGGAACGTCCTGATCGTTTTTTGATAGTGTTGGCGATTCCGTTTGTTTTGTGGTTTCAGTTGGTTGGCTTAGAGAAGATTTTAGATGTTTAACGTCTTCAACTTTTGTTATTTTTGTTTCTGTATTAGCAGCAGGTGATTTTGTCGATACAGGTGATGTGGGTTCTGATTCGGTGACACTTTCGACGACAAATACTTTTTTTAATCTTTCATGAGGAGGTTGCTTTTTAATTGGTGATTTATTGGCAATAGTTTGCTGATTAGTTTGTGGTTTTTCAGCAATGGGCTGAATTTTAGATTCTGGTTTTACAGCATCAGGTTGCTTTTTAGCTTCTGAATGTTTATCAACCATTAGTGTTATGTCCGGTGATTTTTTAGTATCAGGTTGACCTTTAGCTTCAGTTTTCTCAGGTTGGTCTTTTGATTTTAATTCATCAGAAAGTGTTTGTTTAGGTTCTGATTTTTTAGCAATCGGTTGCTTTGTAGATTTTGATTTTTCCGCAGCTGACTGTTTTGAATTGTCTAATTCGGTAACACCAGGTTGCTTTGTTGTTTCTTGTTCAACCATTTTTAGCATCACATCTGCTGACTTTCTAGAATCAGTTTGTTTAGGTTTCTCAGCAACCTGCTTTTCAGGTTCTGATTTTTCCGCAATTGGTTGTTTTTTAGCTTCTGATTGTTTAGAAACAGATTGTTTCTTAGATTCTGATTGGTTATCAACCATGTCAGCCACAAGATCTTTTTTAGCGTCCAATTCCACAGCATCAGACAGTTGCTTTGGTATTTGTTTCTCTTGCTTTTTTGATTTTGATTTTTGGACATCTGATGATTTTACAGTTTCTGATTCTGTGACACTAGGTTGTTTTGTTGCTTTTGTCTGTTCAACAATGGTAGATTTTTCTGCATCAGTTGCGGGTTTTCCTTCAGGTTTTTTAGCGACAGATTGCTTTTCAGATTTTGATTTTTCAGCATCAGATTGTTCTTTAGCTTCTGATTTTCTGGTTTTATCTTCTTGCTTATCAAGTTTCTGTAACCTATCCGTTGAGTTATCTGTTTCCGGTAGTTTTTTAACTTCGGATGGTTCAGCAGCAGGTTGCTGCTTAGTTTTTGATTTCTCAACAACAGATTGTTTCGTAGCTTCTGATTTTTCAGCAGTAGGATGCGTTTTAGATTTTTGTTGCTTATTAGATTCTGATTTCTCGACAGTTGGGGTCTGTTTGGTTTCTTTTGGTTTAGCATCAGGTTTGTCTGCTTTACCAGTTTCTGGTTTTTTAGGAGCATTTTGATTAGGATCGACTAATAATTCAGAACTCGAATCATCAACTTTCTTTATTATTTTCCCTTCGGTAATTGCTAATTTTTCAGGGAGTGTGATAGCTTTCATCGGTTCGTCTGTTTTTATTGCTTCAATTTTTTCAGGTTGCTTTGAATTCTTTAGAGACGCTTTGAATTTAGCTTTCTTATCTTGAACAGAGGAAGTTGTTTCTTCTAATAAAGCTTCAACTTTAGTTACTAAAACTGCTGTTTGGCAAATTATATTTTCCTCTGGTAATTTCTCTTTTTCTTCTTTTGGTAATGACTTCGTTTCAATTATTTTTGATATTGAGGATCTTTTTGGAATTTCCTCTTCTTTTTCTGATAGTTCATCGTCTTTTGATTTTTTCGACTTGGATTTTGATTTCTTTTTACTTGTTCCTGTCTCTTTTTCCTGCACTTGTTCAATCTTCTCAACAGTAGTAGGTTGAACTTCTTTTTTAGAATCGTCGGAAGAAACTTTTTTGCTATCTTTAGTTTTAGCTGAAGTTTCTGATTCTATTTTTGATGTTAGGATTTCAGATTCGGATTTATTATCCATTTTCTGCGGTGGTAATATCTGTTTTGGTACTTTTTTGTCCTCGGCTTTCGAAGTTTGTGCCTCCAATTCAGATTCTTGCTTCTGCTGTGATGATTTTTCATTTTTCTTCTTCTTCTTTTTAGTTTCAGCTCCTTTTAATGAGTCATCAACTTTTTCTATTGCTTTTAATTCTTTCTCACCTTTAGCCCTTTTTACATCATCAATTAGTTCTTCTTCAGTTGATTTTTTATCTTTCTCCATACCTTGTTCAGGTTTGATTTCCTCTTTTGATTTCACCTTTTCTTTATCATGAATTTCTTTTTCCTTCTGACTCTCTGCTTCTTTTACAACCTTTCCTTTTTTACCTTTTTTCGATTTTTTACCTTCACTGGATTTATCTCTACCTGATTCATCAGTTGCTTTTGTAATAGCATCATCGCCAATTGTATCAGTTTTAATTTTATCTCCAGCCTTTGATAAATCTTTACTCTTAACGTCAACATCCTTCTTTATCTTTTCTTCTTTTTCACTTTTGGATGATAATTTGGTATCTGCATTAGATTTTTTCGATGAGTTTGCTTCTTTTTGTGAGTCTTCAATATTTTCGATTGTTGAATTATCAGGAAGTTGTGATCTGTTTCTGGAACGAGACCTTGATCGACGGGATCGTAATTCTTTTCTATTGACATATTCCATAAAACCTTGATCATCTACTTGAACAAGATTTTCAATTGGTTCTACTTCTGGAGCCTCATCTAGGTGAATTTGTATTTGAGGTGTTGAACGTTGAATGGAAATAGTAACAGGAGGTGCAGGTTTTTCAAGTGTTTCCTCTTTTTTGTGCTTGGCTGCAACAGCAGCCCAACTACTTTCTGATTTTGGATCATTTTCAATTTTAGTGTCATCTGAAATTAGTGTCATTTGATCAGTAACTGGAAGTTCCTTTTCCACTTCGTCAGCCCAGAGAGGTTTAGTTGATGTGATAGTTTCATGAACAGATGATGATATGCTATCTTCAGTTGTTTTTTTATCATCACTCGGTTTTTTATCTTTAACATTTTTCTTATCTTTAACGGATTTTTTATCACCCTCCATTCGTTTATCTTTATCAGCTTTCTTAATTTGCATATCTTGTTGCACAGTGATTTCAGGTTTTGTTTTATCGTTTTGGGAAACAGCCTTTATTGGAATCGGTTTTAAAATATCGTGATCATCCTGATCGGGCTGTGGGGAAATTGATGCTGTAATTTGAGCGTAAGATTTGTTTGAATCTTTAGCAGATGTTTCCTGAAGAGAAATTTCTTCTGTATTCAAGGAATCATCAGGCTTCTCTACAATTTTCTTTTGTTTAGGTGTTGAATCCATGTGTTTATTCTTTTTATTCTTCTTCTGAGGTGGTTGCTTTTCTGTTTCTTGTTTTGTAGATGGGGATTTAATTTTTTCATCAATTTTAGCTTCTTCTTGAGAAAGAGTTTGATCAGTAGGACTGTCTGTTAGATCGGAAGTCGTGAGAGGAATTTTGATTAGAGGTTTATCTAATTCTTGAACTTGGGAATCTTTTACACCAACAACTGATGCCCAGGATTTGGTATTGGGAGTATTTTGCTCCTTTGATGTAGTACTATCGTTTTTCGCAATTTCTGAGGATTTTACAGATATAATTTCTTTGGATGAAATATGAGGCTTTACGGCAGATTCTTCTTTGCTTGCTTTTAGGGAACTAACTGAAGGTGTTTCGGAAATATGTTGATCTATTTTTTGATCATCATCACTTGAGTCTTTTTGTTTTGCAGATTTCTTGTGTTTCAATTTTTTCTTTGAAGATTTGGGTAATTTATATTCTTCAGAATCTGGCGGATGGGATTCGGAGACTAATTCCGTTTGAAGAACGTCTGTTGATGGATGGGGTTTAATTTCAGATTCCTCGGTTGATTTAGAATCAGACTTTTCTATAGTTTCTGAATTTTTAACTTTGTTTAATTCAGAAAGATTTTTGGAATCTGTTTTTTCTTTTGTTGCTGTGTCCATAGTTTGATCCTTGTGATGCTTTAAGTTTTTCTGATGCTTTTGATCCTTTTTATCTTTTTGGTTCTTTTGATCTGTCTGATCTTTTTGGTCTAGTACATCCTTTTTAGCACTTTGTTCAGTTTGTACTGACTTCTTATTTTCCGGTTTCGTAGATTTTATATCAACAGATTGATCAGTTTTTTTGGTTTCTTCGACAGATGAATTTGGTGAAAGTGGTTCAAACTCATCGAAATCATCATCAATAACTAAAGAATCGTCGTCTAAAATATCCATCCAGGAGTCATCAGATACTAGATGAACTGGTTTTACTGATGGAACTGACAACTCCTTTTCTGGAATTGGTAATTTTTCTTCTAATTTTTTTGACTTTGCTTCTTCTTTTTGTTTTGCTTCTCCTTCGGATTTTTCGGTTCCTTGAGCTTGAGACTTATCAGTTAATAGATCCTTAGATTTTTCAATCATTTCATCTTTCGATTCATTAGTGGAAATAAATTTAGATTTTTTAGTCGATTTATCTTTAGGGCTATCAATTGGTTGACCTTTAGACATTTCTGTTGGTTCAAGTTTCGATTTTTCAATTGGCTCACCTTTATATTTTCTTTTCATTTTTTCCCTACGTTCATCATTTGGTTTTAATTTAGAGTCGTCACTTGCTTGATTTTCAGGCTCATTCGTTGGTTGATCTTTAGGCTCATCAATCGACTGAGTTTTAGATTTTTCAATTACTTCATCTTTAGACTTCTTTAAAGATTTATCTCCAGATGAATGATCTTCGGATTTATTGGCTGATTGATTTTTAGATTTGTCAATTGATTGATCATCAGATTTATCAGTTGGCTCATCTTTGGATTTTGATTGTGATTTAGTAGTTTTATCAGTTGATTTGGATGTGGATTTATCATCTACTTGTTTCGATTTATCGAGTGGTTGATTTTTAGGTTTATCAGTTGGTTGATCTTTAGACACAGAAAGTGATTGACCTTTCGTTTTCTCAGTCGGTTGGTGTTTTGATTTATCAATTATGTCATCTTTAGGTTTCTTTGAAGATTTATCTCCAGTTGCATGATCTTCGGATTTATTGGCTGATTGATTTTTAGATTTGTCAATTGATTTACCAGTTGGCTCATCTTTGGATTTATGTTGTGGTTTATCAGTTGATTCGGGTGTAGATATATCATCTATTTGTTTCGATTTATCGGCTAGTTGATTTTTAGATTTATCAGTTGCTTGATCTTTAGACTTGGAAAGTAATTGATCTTTCGATTTATCAATCGGTTGGTCTTTTGATTTATCAATTATGTCATCTTTAGGTTTCTTTGAAGATTTATCTCCAGATGCATGATCTTCTGATTTATTGGCTGATTGATTTTTAGCTTTGTCAATTAATTTACCAGTTGGCTCATCTTTGGATTTATGTTGTGGTTTATCAGTTTTATCAGTTGATTCGGATGTAGATTTATCATCTACTTGTTTCGATTTATCGGCTAGTTGATTTTTAGATTTATCAGTTGCTTGATCTTTAGACTTGGAAAGTAATTGATCTTTCGATTTATCAATCGGTTGGTCTTTTGATTTATCGATTACTGGATCCTCAGACTTATTTGTCGGCTGATCATGCAATGTAGAAGCAAGTGCTTCTTTCTGCTTTTTACTTGACTCCATTTTTTTATCAGCAGCTTGATCCTTAGACTTATCGACTGTTTGATCTTTTAATTCTTCAGTTGACTTATCTTTAGATTTCTTTGTTGATTGTTTAGCAGATTTATTAGTTGTTTTATCAGATGTATCTGTTAATTTATCTTTAGATTTATCAGTTGGTTGATCTTTAGATTTATCAGTTGGTTGATCTCTAGGTTTATCAGTTGATTGATCTCTAGTTTTATCAGTTGATTGATCTCTAGTTTTATCAGTTGATTTATCTTTAGAATGATCAGTAGGTTTTTCATTAGGCTCAACAATTAGTGGATTTTTAGACTTATCCGTCAATTGTTCACGTGATATATCAGTTTCTTTCGTCTTCTTATCTGATTTGCCTTTAGGTTTATCAGGTGATTGATTACCAACTGCTTGATCTTTAGATTCATCAGCTGATGTATCTTTTGATTTCTTTGTTGATTGATCAGCAGATTTAGTGGTTGATTTATCAGAATTGTCTGTTAATTTATCTGTAGACTTAGTAGTTGGCTGAGCTTTAGGTATTTCACTTGGTTGATCTTTCGACTGATCAGTTTGGTGTTTTTGTTTATCGATTGGTTGATCCTTAGACTTAACCTCAGGTTGATCTTTAGTTACATCAGCCTCTTTCGACTTACCACCTGTTTGGTTTTTGGGTTTATCAATTACTTTACTTACAGATTTATCAGTAGGTTGCTCCAGCTCATCTGCAGGATGTTTTTTAGATTTACCGATCGATTGATCTTTGGATTTACCAACTAGTTTATCGGATGACTTATCGATTGATTTATCAGATGCCTTAGGTGTCAAATCATCTAGAGGTTTATCAGTTGATTTAGTCGATGATTTATCGGTTGGTTTATTTACTTCTTTAGATACAGAAACATCAGCTGGTTTAGTAGGTGCTTTCTCTATAGATTTGGATACCTTATTACATTTTAGATCACCTTCAACATTCTTCTCTATAACAGTTGTACGTTTAGATTCACCAGCCGATTCATCTTTAGATTTCTTCATCGATTCCGCATCCTCAACTTCGGAATGTTGTACTAACTTTGGTGATATTTTTATTTTTACATTCCCTTTTTGTTGAACATCCGGAGTTTTCATTCTCGATTCTTGTACCAATTTTTCGATATCCGTTGATCTGGGTTCAGTTGAGACTGGAGGATGTGGTTCTTCAATAATTTTTTCAACTCTATAAAATCTGTGAAAATCTACTTCTGCCTGAGCATAGGTGTGATAATCGAGCCAATAAGGTTTGATTAATTCTTGAAGATGTTGAAGATCTTTCTCTTTCTTATTGGAAATTATTGAAGACGCCTCTGGAGATTTTGTTTCTTTTTCTTTTTGGATCGTTTCTTCATTTACATCAGATTTTGGAACTGTAACGGAATGAGACGTTCTTCTGTCTTTAACACTGCCAAACAAATGTTCCTCGTCAATTTTTAAATTGAACTCATTTGTCTTCGAATCTTGATCTATAATTTCACTTATTTTTTCACCACCTACTATTGCGTATGTTGTCACAATACTAGCTTCAGCGGTTCCAGGTCGTAAACTGATAAATTCATTTTTGATTTTTGTTTCTGATAATGGGATGGTCTCAGACATTTCATGGGATTTAACTTCCTTTGATGAGGATTTTTTTGGTTCACTTGATATTTGTGGTTTTTGTTTGGAATTTTTATCAGTTTGATGTGATTTTATGCTTTTTTTATCTAAATCAATATCTTTAGATTTCTTATCTTTTTGTTCCTGTGGATTTTCTGTCGTTGCTATTTCTAGTGATTTTTCAATTGATGGTACAATTTCTTTGGGCTTCTCTGTTGCTTGTGAAGAAGTTTTAGCTTTCTTTTCGTTTAAATTCTTGGGATCTGAGAGACTTTTAGAAGATTTAGAATCAGGATTTGTAGAAACTTCAAAAATTTTAGTCTCCTTTGGAGGTTTAGAATCCTTTGGTTCATTAACATCCTTGGAAATTAGATTCTCAGAAAGTTGAGTCTTTTTGGAAGTTTGTGAATTCTTAGCAATATCGGTATCTTTAGAATCTTTTTCGTCTTTAGAAAATTTAGGAACTTCAGATTCCTTTTTCTTAGGTTTTTGAGAATTTTTCAATTTATTTTTTGGTTCAGTTACTTCAATTTTAGCTTTTTGTTTCCTATCATCAGAAATTGCTTGTGTTACTTTTGATAATTCCACTTTTTCAAGATCAGATATTTTATCTTCTTGTTTCTTGACTTTGGGTGGTAATTCCTTTTTACTGGTTGTAGATTCTTCTGATTTGGGTAATTCTACTTTTTCAAGTTCAGATATTTTTTCTTCTTGTTTTTTGGGTTTAGATGGTAATTCCTTTTTACTGATTGTAGATTCTTTTGCTTTGGGTAATTCTACTTTTTCAAGTACAGATATTTTTTCTTGTTTCTTGACTTTAGGTGGTAATACCTTTTTACTGGTTGTAGGTTCTTCTACTTTGGGTAATTCTACTTTTTCAAGTTCAGATATTTTTTCTTCTTGTTTTTTGGGTTTAGATGGTAATTCCTTTTTACTGATTGTAGATTCTTCTGCTTTGGGTAATTCTAGTTTTTTAATTTTTGAAATTTCTTTCTGTGATTTGGAATCTGAAGCTTCTTTTTCTGGTTTATTTTCAGTTTTTTCAGACTTTTTATCTTTTACTTCCGATTTAGTAGATTTCAAAGAATCAAGATTTTTATCCTGTTTCTTTTCATCATTATCGATTTTGTCTTCTTTAGATTTGACAATATTTTTGTGCTTACTTTTTTTGTCCATAATCTCAATTTCTTGAAGAGCTTTATCTATTTCGTCTACCGTGGATTTATCAGTCTTTTTCTTTTTCTGTTTTCGTTTCTTCTCTGATTCTTCAGACTTTTGGATCTCCGTTTCAGTTAAAATTTCCGTTTTCTGGTTGTCTATTTCATTCTTCTTTTTATCTAACGTTTTCTTATTCTCTTCTTTTTCTTCTTCCTTTACTTTTTCTTTATTTACATCTTTTTTCTTTTCCTTCGTTTCTTCTTTAACGTTTTCCTTCAATTCTTCCTTTTTCGTTGCTTTAATGTCTTCCTTCGCCTTGCTTTTAATTTCTTCTTTCTTCCCCTCTTTAGTTTCACGTTTTCTTTCTACTTTCACTTCATGTACCTTTTGATCTTTCTGTATTGCGGATTCTGGTTTAGATGATCCTTTCCTTTCTTTACTTTTTTCAACTTTTGAATCCTTTTTCTCAAAATCCGGTTTAGATTTATCTGCATATGGCTTTCTCTTTTCCATTTTTTTGCTCTGAGGAACTCTAGAACTTTCGGGTTCGCTTTTCTTTGTTATCTTCGACTCTTGTGGTGTCATTTCCCGTGATGTTGAACTCTCCTTAGAACTCGAAGCTCTATGAGCAACTGGAGGTGGAGTCACTCGTGGACTCAATCCCTGTGATAATATTTTAGCGTACGATATTGATGGACCTTTATTTTCCGCTCCATCACTTTCCACAATTTGTTGCGTTGATTGAAGGCTTTTTTCTTCTTCCTTGTCAGATTCAAGACTCATTGAAACTAGTTTAAGTTGTGATTCTACTGGAAGTTGTGCTAAAAATTGAGGTTGTTGAATATCAGCCTGTTGGATGGCATCATGTTGAATCATATCAGATTGTTGAATTGTATCAGTTTGTGAAATTATTTCGGATTGGGGAATTATTTCTTGAATCATGCCAGGCTGTTGTATCAAATTTGATTGATGAATCAAATCAGATTGAATAAATTCATTTAAAGATTGTTTCGCTAGAGGAACTTGAGATGGGGGATATAGATTAGCACCAGTTGGCAAATAATTGGCTTGCGAAACAAATTCTCCGGGATAATTGGAAGAATCTTCATAGGAACTGAGAATAATTGGTTCCATTTGTTGTTGATGAGTTGAAGCGTAAACATACGAAGGATAGGTTCCCAATTGGGTATTGATGAATCCTACCAATTCGGGTGTGGGATAAGTGTACAAATCCGTTTGGGGAACAACTGGCGTTTCATAAGGATTAACAGACCAGTCGGTGGTTTCACTTTCGGACCATTCCTTTTTTTCCGCTACAACGTTGAGATTATCTTTTGTTACATTTACAGGATTATTTCCCATTGATGCTTGATCTGTATTTACAGAGGTATCTTGTTTGGCTGATGCTGTGTCATCTTTTACTTCTGATCTACGATGTTGATGGGATTCAACAGGAAATTTAGTTATTGATTCTGTTTCTCGAGATTTGGATGTTTCTTTAGATAAATTTTCCTGCATACGACCTCTGAGAATATTGGCATACGAAGGGGATCCAGGACCCCAAATGGGACTTGGTGATCTCCCTTTTTTTAATTCCTGTGGAGCTAATCCTTTCATCTCTTTTTCCGTTGGTTCGTTAAATATTTCCTCACTAACGGATATTTTAATTTTAACAGATGTATCCTTCTCTTGTTTTCTTTCAGCTTTTCTTGTTGGTGAACGACCACGACGACTTTGATCAATCCTTTCAAAATCTATTCTCTCGGAGTCAATTTTTTTGGAATTAATTTTTCTAGCTGTAATTTTCGATTCTTCAGATGGTTCAGTAGCACTTGTTGAAGCCTGTTGATAGGCTTCGGCTTTGCTGGCCGTGAGTCGAAGGACCTGAGTGGTCAGGGAGGAAGGAGGAGGTTCATCGCGAGGGGTCCTGAAGGGACTATTGCATCGCGAATTTGAACGTGATCTTCCCGCAGCGATGTCTGCGTACGACACAATACCAGGGGCTCTGACAATCGTCTCACTGAGCGGGACATAGTTTGGATCCACTGCATGAATCTTATCCACCAGTGTTCTCGTGCGTTGCCTCCAACTATCCATTCGTGTCTGCAAGGTCTGCTCACAAATTGAGCAGCCAAAGAACACATATGTCAATTGGATTTTGATAACCAAATGATTGGGTTTAAAAAAAAGGGGGGGGGGAATAAATGATTTTGAATTTGAAAAAATGTACAACTTTTCTATAATGCTCTTTTTTTATTGTATAATAATAATAATAATTAAAATGGCTTTCGCGCGATACAACATTCGTATATATTTAATAATAAATCTCATTAACGCGATATTTTTTTTTCTCTTAATTATAAATATACAAGCGCTCGAATACAGATTTAAAATATTAAAACAAAAACACGATTTTTAGATCGAGAGGCTCCTTTTTCAAAGGAGTTTATTAGAACGCGATTAAATCAGATCGACGATCTTTCTTTTGGTCAGTGATGGAAATTTTTTTTTGTCTAAATTCCAACCACTTTTTTTCACATTCCCAGTGGATTTTCAACTTTCGATGAAAGTCGAAATTCCCTAAGGCTACGGATCTAATGGCTCGATATCCGGTGTTCCTCTTTGAACCAGAAGTTTTGAACGTTCCGAACGTGCTTGAATTTTACTCTGTAACGACTTGATTTTCTCCACATATATCTTTAAATTATTTAATTTTTTTTTACAAAAATTGAAAAATTCCGCGTGATAATATTGGATCACGTCGACAGAGTGGATTGAAATGAAAAAAAAAAATTTAAGATAAAGAGAGAAGAAAATGAAAAGACCCGCCACAATGATGGAAAAATTGAAAGAAAAAAAGGATCCCATGACGTGTTCCGTGTGCCAAGAGGATGACAAAGGATGACCAAGAATGACAATCGCGATTATCGAGCAAAAAATGACAGGTGTGTGTGTGTTTGTGTGTATGAGGTTTGGTAAGGGAGGAGGGAATGCAGCAAACAGAAGTCATAAATAAAATGCTAGTCAACAAAACGAGAATTACAAAAAAAAATAAATAAATTAAAAAAACATTTAAATCATTATTGCATTAACGAAAAATGTTTTTGTTCATTGCGCTTTTTTTGATGCGGTCTTCAGAACATATTTAACCTTTTTCAAAAAAAGAAAAACATTTTCACATGGAGGTCAATTGATTTCTGCAGCGTTTGTCGATTTTATTTTTTATAAATCCATTACCACAAATATTTATCAAAGCACTTTATGTTTATGTTCAAGGTGCAAAAGCAACTCAAGTGTATTGTGCTAATTGAATTATTTACAATAATTATTTTTAATTAACTAATAGAGAAATAATAATAATAATAATAATAATAGAACAAAGGAAGCAAAATCAAGTAATCCCCTTTTTGTCACATTAAAATTAAACTTTCTTAATAACTAAATAGGTGAGAACAATAAGGAAAAACGAAAATGTTAAGACCAAGATACCAACCAACACCCTGTGAATAAAGCACCACCATGATATACCAAAGAAACATTATCCCAGGAGGTTTATAAGGAATTGTGATGATAATTGTAATTATTGCGACAATATATTAGCAAGGATGTTTAGAAATGGAAAAAAGCAATTTTTAAAAGCTGAAAAAAATATTAAAAAGCTTTTTCAAAAGGAAATTATTTTTTTTTGAATTATTGGAATCAATTAAAAGCAATGGAAGAACAAAAGATTTAGCAGTAAATGAATAGCATTTTTAAAAAATGTAATCGAAAGCTGATAGTGATCATATTATCAATTATTTTTTTAAGGGGTTTGTAATTAGTCATCAAAAAAAAAAAATCCATCGACTTTTGTTAGGCCATGAAGATCGTCGATCGATGATCGACCTACAGGATTTTACGATCAGTTAGCAGGTAGTAAAATGGTATTAGAGGACTAAACACGGATTCCTCCCGAAAAAAATATAAAAATCGTTTTTTACAGCAAAATTTTTTTTTAGATTTTTTTAAGATCCTGGTGGTGGTCTTGAGTTGGTATCAATATTGTACATATATAAAAGATCAACGCTTGCTGCTTTAGTGCACGGTGCAAATATAGAGAGAAATAAATGTAAATTAAAAATTATTTAACATACCTGTTGTTCCTCTAGGGCTTTTTCTCTATCATTTGGCAGATAAGTTGGACTCAAAATTGCTCTCAATTGTTGTTCAGCTTGCACTATATGCTGTCTCAATTGTTGTATTTCCTGAAACAAGAAGAAGAGTTTAATTTTATTGATTAAATGGATCGTGAATTGGAATAGCTGTATTTTTCGTTAGAATGGGTCCAAAAAAAATTTACAAACATTGTTCAAAACAGCAATAAAATGATATCGAAATGTCATTGAATTTTAATTATTTTTTCCGACAAAAAAAATGAGCCTCTTTAAATGATCGAATGAATTTATTGAACCCAATTGGAATGAATTTAAAACTCACCTGTTGGTACTGATCAATTTGATGAAGACAAGCCTCCAAAGCGGCTGTTTGGTCCTTGACTGTATTCATGAGAAGATCCAGCTCCACAAGAAGTTCATCAGCTGCTTCACTGACTCGACTGTCACCACCGATTCCAGATCGGAAATGGACCTGTAACTTTTCAACGGACATGCTGATTTTTGTTTTTTGAATTGTTATGTCACTCAGCATCTTCTCTCTAATTGCATGCTGATCCCTCAATGGCTTCTTTTTGTTCTGTGGTGATTCGAGATTCTGTTGTGCTTTCTCAATCCAATTTTTCACGTCCTTCATTTTTTTCTCACATTGCTCCCATTCTTCGCTGGTCTCTTGCAACAGTGCATTCTAAAGGGAAATCAAGAGCATAAAAGGTAAATTAAAGAAGAAGAAGAAATTGCTTTAAGTGAAGTAAATTAAATAGGTTGATTAAATTGACATGGTAAGGAAAAACCAGATACTGCCTGAATTATGGATTCGTAAATTTTCGTTAATTATTGTTCAATAAAGTTTCAGGAGATCGACAAAATGGTAAAGTCTTCCGAAGTCCAGAAGTATGTCAACATGATTATTAAGGGCGGTTTTTAGACTCTTCAGGATTTAGTCAGTTATAGGCGAAGATAAAGCACGCCTTAGCAGATAATGGAGATAGCAACTTTGTTGGCACCGTAGGCAATGCGGAGGTGAACCGAGAAGAGCGAAACAGAAAAAGAGAGCGTATCCATGATAAGCAGCTTTGGCGCGTAGTCGTAGAGGCGCAGAAATGAACAAAAAACCTCTAGCAGTCCGGAAAGGACTGATGCTGAGGAAAAGAAGAAAAAGCAATAGGAGGAACCTCTTGTCGGAAAGATCTACAATGGTGATTAGAGTCGCAACAGGAACAACGTATGTCGACGTACTGAGCAAACTTCGGAACGAAGTGAATCCGGACGTCAGCCACTCGCATGTCGTGGGCGCAAGGTCTACAAGAAGGCAATATCTCCTGATAAAAATCTGAGGAGACACCAATAAGGAGGCATTCACCGCTGAGATCACCAAAGTGGTAGGAAGCATGGGGAAGGTGCAGATCGTGGATCGACAAGTCACACTAGAGATCCGCGACCTGAATTGCCTTACCCAGGAAGAAGTGGTCCAACAGATGTTGGCAGTAGTGCTCTAGAAGCTAGGAAGCAGGAAAGTGAGTTCCTATAACCCAACCGACGAGGAATGAAGCTCGCTGTTGTAGTCATTGACCTAGAGGATAGGACTTATACCAGAGTATAAACGGTACCCAGGGAATTCGGGGCCCGTGAAGATTAATCTTCATCCGGATCACTGGATTGGACTCTTGGTGGCAGTGATTAATAGCCCACATCGTTTGGGTTAGAGGCTGATGGGAGTGGACGATTCTTTGGGTGCTTTAGCGCCATCGGAGTCGTTCCACACTCTAGGTATCGATATGTGAGTTGCGACCTCAATTCAGGAAGCAGTATGCATAGTCGTTAGGGATTAGAAATATCCCGGCTAAAACCGAGGGTCAGCAAGGTCCTTACCAGCCTTGTAGGAATCGAAAGATGACACGAACATCAGGTTCATCAATGTTGGCTGAGCCTATCTCGGCCCCGCGACCACGGGATCCGTGTGGGTATACCTGTACAGAGAGATCTCGCACGTAAAACAACTAGGCTATGACCCAGAGGAGGCGGACAGGCTGGAGAAAATAGGACGCATAAGAATTGGCTTTATGTGTTTGCTCAATAAATAGAAGAGTAATGATCGCGATTGCGAGATTCCAGGGACCTTCACCTACGAAGTTTAAAGCTTGACGGCAGTTCCTTAGTGTGAGGATTAGTCCAGTCAAAGGGTGTGGTTTTTAGTAGAATGACCAGAACAAAAACGGTCATCCCCACACAACCTCGGAGCACCGGGCTCCAGGTATCTGCCTTGGATACCAAAGGTTATGCAGATTTTCCACTACCCTCGTAAAAAAGAAAAATTGATTTGAAAAAAAGTGAACAATTAAATCATAAAAATGGAGTAATTGCTGATAAAAAAACATAACTAACCCTCTCCAGAAGTTGACCCTCAACTTCAGCTTTTGCTTCTTCAACAGCAGTGAGTTTTTCCGGAAGATCACCGACATTAGTTACCTGACCGATGTTTTCCAATTCTTTGCCCATGTCGCTCAAATTCTTATTCACTTGTTTACAACTCTTCACTGCAGTCTGAAACAAAAAATGTTAATTGTGATTAACGGAATTGAACTTGGAAATTTTAATTGAAAGTAGGAGAAGAATTAGAAAAAGACTTACCGAATAGTCATGAAGCCTCTGCCTGGCTTGATTGAGACTACTCAATTTCAGCGGCTCGACGAGAAATACTTTCTTCTCACCAATCCAGGTCTTAACAGCTTCATGCAAAGCAAGAAATCTCTGCCAAGCATCGAGTACATCGCCAATCAATTGTTTCTTCTCATCCAACCAGGATTTCACCTGTCCCATTTGATCCGTCAAATTACCAATTGTACTAACAATAATCTCCTTCTCATTTTCATCTCTTGTATTCTCAACAATAATCTGTCCATTTCGTGTCAATCGTTCAAGTTTATCATTCATGGGACCAAGTTCATTTTGAATTTGACGAAGTTGTTCCATCAATTTCGACGGTTCAATTGAACGATTTTGAATTTTTAATTCAGCATCGCGAACCCATAATTGAACTTGTTCCACATCAGTCAAATAATCAGATCTTGTAGTTTTTGCACGTTTTTGTTCTCTCTGCTTTTCCTCCATGGCTTGACTGATGCCTTCGACTGGAAATTCCAAAGATGTGAGTTGTCGATCAATATCAATTGGTACCAGCTGCTGACTAGCTTGATACCGCGCCCTAGTGTTTGCTGAAAATTCACGTAACGATTCAACGAGTGTGTCAACGCGAGATTCTAATAATTTCAAATCAGTCTCGGTGGCCTCTTGATTTGCACTGAAGACATAGAAGGATGAAATTTGTTTCTCGAGTTCCTTAAGTTCAATGCTCAACCGTTTCTCCTCCTCTTGGAATTTTTCAATGTCCTTGAGGTCAGAGTTCGCCTTCTTGGATTTTTTCCGGATTGAATCGATAAGCCTGGGAAAGAATAAATTTTTTTTTGTTAATTACTGATTCGTAGCTAATGGAAATTTTGATTAGTTACAAGAATTATTAAAATTATTCCATTATTTTTAGTGATATTTGTTTCAGCAACTAGAAATTTAAAAATATATTTAAAGTACAGTTTCTTATGTCACTCGGGGGTTTTTAGGGGCGCTGATTACGAATCTGAACATAGTTTTTAATAATTCAAAATGGCTGATCAAATATGGCGGACAAATATTCAAAAAATTAATCGTATTCGTTTGAAAATTGTCACTCGGGGGTTTTTAGGGGCGCTGATTACGAATCTGAACATAGTTTTTAATAATTCATAATGGCTGATCAAATATGGCGGACAATTTTTTAAAAATTTGTTGGATTCACTTGAAACTTGATATTCTGGGGTTTTTGGGGTCGCTGATGACGGATTTGAAGTTAGTTTTCAAAATTTCAAAATGTCTGATACAATATGGCGGATAATTTTTCAAAAATTTACTGTATTCTTTTGAAAATTGTCACTTGGGGGTTTTGGGATCGCTGATTATGAATTTGAAATTAATATGGTGGACTATTTTTAAAAAATTTACGGGTTTGGTTTAAAAGTTGTCCATTGGAGGTTTATAGGGTGGCTGTTCACGAATCTAAATTTGGTTTTCAAAAATTTTAAATGTCAGAAAATTTAAAAAAAAATTAAGTTTCAGTTATATTAACAGCTTTAATAATTCCATTTGTGCATATATAATTTAAATTTTAATGTATTTGATAATAATTTATAGATAAAAAAATGTGTGTAAATTTTTTAATTTTAAAAAATCAACAAAATTTTCATCGTAATATTTTAATATTTGGTTTTAATTTATTTTTATATAATTAAAAAAAATTTAATCAAACATTCAAAATTTTATATTGTATTTTTTTTTTAAATTCAAACATTGTATTGTACAATTATAAATTGTATCTTGATCGATGAATATTTTTTCGTTCAAATTATTATTAAATATTATAATTTTGTTATTAATTGTTTTTGAAGAATTTTTTGGGGGTTGAAATTATGCGACAACTTAAAATGAGACCCAAAAACTTGGGTTTGCTTAGGACGGACGAATTTAGAATTGAAAATACGTGTCGCGTGCTCTATCTCTCTTAGTAGCCTATGGTGACTCTGGCTAAGATCCCAGCCATTTGTAGAGGCCTTGGCTAAAAGTAGATAAGCAAAGTATGTATGAATGTGTCTCTTTGGAGTATCTCAGTAGAGCAGGCAATGAAACTTTTCTCTCGAAACTTTAAATCTACGAAATTAAATCATTTTTTTTTGCATCAATATTGTATATTTATTAGAAATTATTTCTTATTTATCGTCTTTCTTCACTTAATGTCAAAAAAAAAAAAATTTCTAGAAAAGAAGTTTAAAAATTTTCTCCAAGAAAAATGCTTTTTGAAAAAACAATCAAAGTCAAGGGGAAAATACAGTTGCAAAATTGTTTTCAAATAATTCGAATTTTGAAAACTATTTTGTTTTAAATTTTGAAAATTTGCGAATATCATTTACATTGTAACTGATTTATTCGAGGAGGAAAAAACTGTGTGTAGCACAAATTCACAAAATTTTTTTTGATGGAGATTTTTTTCACATTCTGAGATCATCGTACTTATTTAGTCACTTGTGTAGCTAAAAGTAGACAATCCGTGAGGCTATCTTTGAGAATATTTTTTTTTTTTTGCTCGACAACCTCCACTTGTGAAAGTAACAGATGTCAACGTCGTTCAGACATTATTATTATTATTAAAGTTCACTAATAGATTTTTTTAAACGAAAATTTACATCATCAATGCGATTTGGGATTTATAAATTATTTGAAAAAAAAAAATTCTGTACCTCTTGCTACGCGAATTAAATTTCTTCAACTGGCGCGATTTTGCGCGAATTGTTTCACACAAGAATATTGTGAATCTCCACGTGATCGCGTTTCTCGGCAGAAACGAAAATAAATAATTCGAATATATTGAAAAATTTCACCACTTTTTTTTTTCCTTTAACGTCTTTGGGGGAAATTTTTATTTTTTTTTTATATTTAAATAATTTTGACACACAATGAAGATAGAAAATCAAAGAAAAATATTAATTTATTTTCGAAAAATTAAGTACAAAATATTTTTTAAAAATGGCAAATTTATGTGAAAAATTTTTTGTGATCAAATTTTTAATAGAAAAACAAATTTTTTTTACAAATTGAGGAAATTTTGTACCTTATAACGATAGCCTATAAAATCTTGTTTGTTCCGGTTTTAAAAATTCCTTTTTTAATCGACGTTGTGATGATTAGCGTTAATTTTGCTTTTTTTCTTCTTTCCAAAAAATTTTATAGGATAAATTTTTCTTTTTTTTTCTGAGAAAAAGAAAGATAATTTTTTTTTTTTTTTTTGGTATTTTTAAATAATAAAATAATAAATAAATAAAGTGGCGCGGCACAAATCAAGCCAAACAGCAGCGGTTCGTGGTTCGAAACGTATTGAAAAGAAGAAAAACAGCCGGTTAGGTTATTCTGGCACAACGTTTAGACGCATGCGGAATGATTTTCGAGTTCTCCAGTCACACAAGAGGCGTCGCAACGCTTGATGATATACAAGTACTCAAAAACAGAGTTACCTAAGAATAATTGAGGCGCCGGATGTAAGAACAAAATATAGAATTTTTTGACGAATTGTCTCAAAATACAAAAAAAAAAGTTACAAAAAAATTACTCTTGAGATCAAATATTAAAATCTCTTGCAGTTTAATATTTATTAGAATTAAAAAAAAAGAAACAAAAAAATAAAACAGTTTTTTTTTTGTAATACAATTTTTTAATTTAACACAAGAATTTATTATTTTTGGAATTTTTCGAAAAATAAAATATGAAATTAAACAATAGACTTTTAATTTAATTTTTAATAGATTTTATATATATTTTTATTTATTTTATTTTTACTTTTTTTTTATTTTTATATTTTTAGATTTAATTACTTAAATAAAATTTGAATTTTCAAACTTTGTATGAATTTAAGAATTCTATATATAATTCAAAAAAAATCTCATCATTCTCGCATCCGGTCCATCAGTTATAAACAAAGTTTACTTCTGGTCAGTTGAAAAAATATTATTAGAAAAAAATTAATTTACGATCAAAATTTTTGAATTAATCACATTTTCTTAAATTTGCATATTAAATTTTATAATTTTTAAAGTGATAACTCACAAGTAAATCGAGTTTTTCGAGATGTTTCAGTGAGGAAAAAGAAAAATGGAATTAATTTTCAATTTATAAAAAGTTTATAGCATCTTGTTGATGATAAATTTAAAAAATAATGAAGTTATAGTGATAAATGCAAATTTTTTCAAATTAATGTAACTATAAAAAATTACTTTTTTGTGTAACTAAGAACATTGTTATCTATAATAATTATGAAATAAAAATATTGTTATTTTCGTTTTGAAATTAGGACATATTTAAAAATAATTTAAAATTTTCAAATTCAAAAACTAAGAAAAAAAAAATTTTTTTTCTAAAACTAGGTCAGAAATGTTTAAGATTTTAAACATATTATGTTTAATTTTGAAAATAATAATAAAATTTTATATTTTATAAATAAAATTATTAAATAGATATATATATATAAATATTTTTAAATATTAAATTAATTATTGTATTTATAAAAATATTAAGTTACAAAAACAGTATAATTCTTTAATAAACAATTAGCTATCAAAGTAAAATGTTAATTAACAAAGATTACGAATAAGCTAAAAAAAATACTTTTATCTTCTCTTTGAAAAAAAAATAACTTTGTCAGTTTATGAATTATCTTATATAATTAAGTTATTTTAAAATTGTGAATTTAATTTAAAATGGAACAATTATTATTTTTATTTTACAAATTTGTAAACTTATTTTAATTTCAGGTATTTATTTATAATTTATTAATAATTATTTTAAAATAATTTATTAATAATTATAAATAAATAATTTAGTAATAATTATTTTTATTTAATAAAAAAATTAAAATTTTGCAAAATATTGTTAAACTTTTTCATTTTTCTATATGTATATATATATATATATATATAATGAAAAATAATATTTTTTTTTAAATAAACTATATTTTTAGCAGGATAAAAAAAAACAGTAAATGACCTTTAGAGAATGGGAAGCGAGTTCTTGCACTAATGAAATTCAGAAATGGAACATGTAGTTATTTTTATCTTCTTAGCTATAAATATACAGGCAATTGAATTGGCAGAAAATAATACTTTAATTTTAAACTAACTTAATTTAAAAAAAAATACAATTTTACAAATTTCTTTTTTTTGCAGCAAAATGTAGAAATCGGTTTTAGAAAAATGTGCTAGAAATGTAATTATAAAAAATTAATTATTAATTATTATATAACAATAACTGAAACTGGAAAATTTTAGTAAATTGTTAATTTCATTTAAATAAAAAAAAAATAAATAAAAACACGAACGTTATATTTCAGTTTATTTAAAACAAACTTATATTTGCAAAATTAAATAATAATTAAAAAATAAAATATTGTAAAAATCTATAAATAACATTTTAGAATCACATAACGTTTAAAAATATTTACCTTCAGTAACAATAATCTTTTTATCACATTATTGACGTGAAATGTGAGTAATAATATTCTTTTTTTTTTGAAGCAACCTGATAATTTTTAATAATTATAGATATATCATAAAATGTCCAAATGCGAATATAAATTTTATTTTATAAATTTTTTATAACTTTTTTTTGCATATATTTTAGGTTATTCATTACAAAAATAAATTGATAAATTTAAAACCTCAAAATAATCCTATTGTGTTCTTTAATTTTTAAGTTAATATTAATTTATCTTTTTATTAAATAAAAGTTTGCAATCATCTCTTCATCATTTAAAAACGAAGAAAAATTTTAAAATTAAATTAGATAATTTTGAAAATTTCAATTTGATTT